ATAGATAGAGAGAGAGAGAATAATTATTTATTTAAATTTTTTTTTTCATTTTATAATTGCTGCGGTAATTATTTTATATATGTATGTAAATATTTAATATGTAATTAATCATGTAATTTTATGAAACCAATTAATTTACACTAGAAAAAAAAAATTAAATTACAATCATAATCTTAAGTTTTTTTTCTTATTAATCGTCTAAATACCGGAAAAATTTACGTTACGGTAAAATACGATTTCATACAATGATTTTACATTTGAATTTTGAAAATAAACTGTAGATGGCGTACCGCGGTAAAGTCAAAATTAATTATAAGACTTGAATAATTTTGAAGCTAGGATTCAATTTGCGAAAAATGAAATATAACCGGGGAATAAAGTTATCGCTACTCCTCTAATTTTTTTTTTCTCTAGATATGAAATATTACCTCACCTTAATTATGTAAATATTATTGTATCAGAAGCTGCATTTACATGTACTATATGTACGATATATATTCCCAAAGGGCTGTATTATTTTTATTTGTGTAGCATAAGTCAAATGATTGTAGGCGTTCCATAATCCTACCATTTGCATTACAACAAAGGACGTAATTCTAGAATGTACGTAGAATGTAACAATTTAATATATGGAACTGTAGAGAGTTACAATTACTGGGGTTTTGCAATTATATTTGCAAGTGTTCAATTTACTGGGGCCTGTCGTCATTGTCTTTGTCATTCACAACATTTGTGAATGCAACATTCATTATTGAAAAATTAAATGTCAAAAATAGTTGCCATTATGCAGTGCAATTTTATTTTGAAAAAAAAATTCGGTGTCATTCGGCGAATTAACTATTTTCTTTCATTTTCTATTCCGTAACATAGGGATGATAATGCGCCCCTATTTAAAAAGTATAAATATTGCAAGTTATTTTATATAAAATGTGTTATACTGCTTTACATATTAAAATGGCTATACACAATAAATGTAATATACAACAATTGTTATATACATATGCATGTACATACATAGTTACGAAAGTTTCTCTCATAAAAGAAAACAAAATCAAAACAAAACAAAAAAAAAACAAAATTATATTTGAACTTGAACTTGAGCTTGGAAAAAAAAATGAAATTCAAGATTTGAACGATATTAAAAAAATAAAAAAAAGTAGGTGTATTGCAATTATCTTATATACATACATACTTACATTTTATTTTTTTAAATTTATTTTATAATCAAGTTTAAATTAAGAAAATCTTATATAATATAATGATATTATGAGATTGAGTCAATATTAAGTAACACCCAGAATACTTGTATGATATTACAAGTAAAGATGATTTAGTTTCAGAAATATGGTATCGAATTACCAAGTTTGATCTTTATTTACTAAGAACGAACAAATTACGCTGCAATTATAACAATTTAATTTACGATATTTTTTTATTACCTTCTAATACAATTAATAAATTAACTTCTCATTTATTTTTTTAGTGTACAATTATGAAGTTATTAAAAATAATTTTATGTAATTTATGTGTGTGATATTTTAAATTATAGTGTTTTGCTTATTTATTCTAAATAAGAAGGAAATAATATTCTTAAAAGAAAAGAGTTAAAAATAATTATAAAAAATATTTTATAACTAATTACTTGCAATTTATTTATTTTTCATTCTCTTAATATTCCATGAGATAACGTAAATAAATCTTAATGTTTATATTTATACAAGTATAATTCTTAAATAATATGAGCGATTATTATTCAAAATAATTATTTTAATTAGCTGATGAATATTTAAAAGTATGATAAATGATTTTAAAATTATATACTATTCATATTTTAAACATATGAAAAGAATGAAAAAAAAATAGAAGAATTTTTACGTGATTTGTTTTCAAAATTAGTTTATTCTTGGATCGTTTAAATTTACGCGTCTTTTGCGTATTTCGCAGTCTATATTGTAAATTGAGTTTAATTCTGTTTCAATTATGTTTGATTTAATTGAATAGAATTAAACTTAAACTGAACTTACGTTTATGAATCTTAATGTATAATTATTTTACAAGATTTAGTCAGAGGTTTTTTTTTTACATTTGTTGAACTAATTTTCATTCAACTAAATGTATGAACAATATTCGATATCCAACAACTTTATAGATATTTTAAATATTTTGTATTAAAGAAAACTGCTTCCTTCATTTATTTTGTACAACATATGTATGTTTGTACCTAATAAATTGTTTTTTTAATTTTAAAACATTTCAATTTTTAATATACAACTATCAATTAATTTTAATATTTTTTTCTAAAAACGATTTAAAATTCCATTAAATTCTCGAACTATTATTTAATATGGGAAAATTCGAATTCCTAATTCAAATACTTATGCATATATAATACGAATTTTATTAATAAATAATTTAAAGTTAATTTATGTACGTATTAAGTAAATATGAGGTCGAATCAAACAAATGGTTTGTAAAGTAGCACTTTTCTAATGTATGTTGCTATACTGTCTGCATTTGCAGAATTTAAAAAATGTTGCCGTTTCCATGCAATAAATAGTTATATATTAGGATTTTTAATACTTTGAGGTGCTGTAAGTTTTAGAAGGTTTTGAGAGATGTAAATAGAAAAAAATTTTCTTCCAAAGAAATAAGTTTTTAGTAAAGATATTAGCTTTCTATCTTAAAGGGTGTAAGGATTCAGGCAGACATATTGTTTTAGTTTGTAATTAGTGCTTGATTGTAAAATCGTTGCAAGCACATCTAAGCAACTGAACTATTGTACCAAATCAAACCAATTGTTCCCTTCAATATAAACACAAATAAGCAATCAAACAGTTGTAAAACAAAAAATTACAAATCTACCACAGACAGAATGACAAATTGACAAAATAAAATAAATAACCACTTTTTTTTCTCTAATATTTTTTGGGAAAGTCCTAAAAAACCAAAATACGTTTCATCGTTTCATGTGAATATTGGTAATAAATTTCAATTTTCAAAATTAGCATTAATATTCTTAGCAAAATTATGAATAAATATACTTAATTTAGTTTAGAATTTCTATTTTAGATTTGAAAAAAACAAATTATTTCAAATTATCTTAATTCTATGTAATTTCAAATCTAATTATTATAAGGTTAGCTATTAAGTCTGGATACTAATTTACAATATTAACAATCCATTTTAGGTTGATGATTAAAAATTACATGTTAATAAATGTTAATAAACGTATTTTGTGGAGGTAGAGTCTGATAACGTAAAATATAGAGTTATTTCTAAACAGTACAATAAAAAAAAGCTTTATGCCGACGTAGATTTTTAATACCGGCTGCTGGTTGACATACTTTTTTTTTGTGGGGTTTGAAAAATGAACGAACCATTTGTCAAAAGGTCAAGGTTGTCAAGGTAAATTGTAAAGTTAAATAACAATCGCTCTTTTGTTTACATTATTTCACTTTTTTTTTTTATTTGCTCGCTTGCTTTAAACTGATGATAGTTTAAAAATTTCATTTTTCAAAGAGTGTACACAACAATGTTGTTATTTCTACGAATATCTTTAATTCATACGTCTCCAGATATGCTTTTAAATTTTTTTGTTGCTGTTTTTTTATGTAAATTACTTTGTTTACAAAATTTTTTACCACGCGCTATTGTTTTTCTCGTTTTTTCTTGTTTTCTGTTCAAACGGAGCATACATAAATAAGTAAGGTATTTTAAATTGCTAATTTTAGTAATAAAGACGTAGATCCATAGTATTAGCATGTATATAATGATTCGTTTAAGTATGATAATTAACCTTTTTAAATAATTATAAATGCTAAGAAATTATAAAAGATAAGGTACTAAAAATATTTAATTAATATTTTAAAATTTTGTTATTTTTTTTATATATATATTTTGATTTTCAAGTAGATTAATTTTGTAACAAATTTAAGTTGACAAACGAAATGAAAAATGTTTATGTCAAAGTGGTTATGACTTGATAATTGCAGTAATACGGTATTAATACAAAATTCAGCTTATAAGTTGTATTACAGCAATTTTGAAATTACGGCTTTCAGAAATTTATTTGATATAAAACATTGTTAGGAGTCTCTCTGATGTTGTAAAGTTTGAATATTGTAGTGTCAACCGATTAAAAGTTTTTTCCAAAGTGTTCATTGGAATTGTCTTGAAAAATTTCTCATTATATTCCTCATAAACTCCAATATTTTATGATATATTGACATTTTTTTTTTTGGCAAAATTAATTTTAAAACAAAAAAATAAATAATTTTCGTCGAACGGGCCCCCTTTTTTTCTTTGTTTTTTTTAAAGAATTAGAATAAATATTTTATAATTTGAATTACGTAAACCCAACCGCTTTTATTTACTTAAATATACACAATTTTGTGTTATTTTAACAAATTCGTAAACAATTAAGCAAAATATTTTTTTTTTGTCTAAAATTCAACGATAAAAATAGATTCCTATAATGTACGTCATTAGTTAAATATCATATGTTCAAGTTTCCAGCAACTATATAAAAAATATTTATAGAATTTTTAGATAAAATATTGCAAAGGTACATACATATGTACATATTATGATAATATTCATCAAATACAATTTATAAAAATGAAAACGCAGTAAAAGAAAGTGAAATCTTTCACTTGTCAATCTTATATTTTTTAAATAATATTCATTGAACCCAGACATTTTTACGTTTGGGTGAAATTAATTCTATAATTATCTTATGGAATTTCAGTGTTAATTCATAAGTGCATAATGTTATTTCATGTTAATTCATAAGTGTTAATTCATAAATTGTCTTAATATAAGGTGTATTGCCCTTTTCCTGCATTCTTAGGAAGTCTAAGATTGAATAAATTCATACGACTCGATTTTATTAATAGAAATAAATTTGAAAAATGATTGTAATTTTATACATCACTTTAATTATATGTATATTTTGCAAGGAATTTAAATTTCATAAAATTTTTTGTTTTTGTTAATTTTAGGTTAGAGGTCACCAAAGAGTGCCATCAGATTCAAAAGAATTTCATGAAGTAACTAAACGTGATGCATTACAATTATTGGAAAATGAATTGGATAAATTATTACAAACATCATCAGATAAAAAACGTTTGGCACTTGCTAATGAAATGAAACGTTTCTCAGATCTTTTTGGTAGATTCTTACAAGAAGGTAAAGAAATGTAAAGAAATGTTTTTAGTATACAACGTTTTTAATATGTGTTTTTAAAAGTAAAAATTAAAATTTGAATGTTTTTGATTTTTTTTAGAGGGTCCATCAATTGATTGGAGTAAAATACAAAAACTGCCAGAAGAAGCTGTGAAAGAATACAATAGCTTGAAACCACCGAAAAATGATGATGCTGTAAAACAAAATTAATATTTTTTACCTTATTTGTAAATTCTAATTCTCATTTAAATTTTAGATAAAACAAATGTTGGATAAATTAATTGTTATCAAATTGAATGGTGGTCTTGGTACCAGTATGGGTTGTCATGGACCAAAATCTGTAATTCCAGTGAGATCAGATTTAACATTTTTAGATTTAACTGTCCAACAAATTGAGGTAAAATTTGCAAAATAATTTGTTTTGCTATTTTGTAATATTAATTTATTTAATTTTTTTTTTTTTTTAGCATCTAAATAAAACTTACAATTCAAATGTTCCTTTAATTCTTATGAATTCATTTAATACAGATGAAGATACTGAAAAAATTATTCGTAAATATCAAGGTTTTCGTGTACCAATTTTTACATTTAATCAAAGTTGTTTTCCACGTATAAGTCGTGAATCATTTTTACCAATTGCAAAAGATTTTAATGTTGAAAATGATATTGAAGCATGGTATCCACCCGGTCATGGTGATTTTTATGAATCATTTCAAAGTTCTGGTTTATTAAAGAAATTTATTGATGAAGGACGAGAATATTGTTTCTTATCAAATGTTGATAATTTAGGTGCAACAGTTGATTTAAATATTTTAAATAAATTGATTGGTGAAGAGAAAAATGAGAAACCAATTGAATTTGTTATGGAAGTAACAGATAAAACAAGAGCTGATGTTAAAGGTGGTACATTAATTCAATTTGAAAATAAATTGAGATTATTGGAAATTGCACAAGTATCAAAAGAGCATGTTGATGATTTTAAATCAGTAAAAACTTTTAAGTTTTTCAACACCAATAATATTTGGGCGAATTTAAAAGGTAATTTTAATTTCTAACATTTCTTAGACACGAAGCTAGAACTAAATTTTTATATAATCAAAATTCTTGAAAATTATTGAAAATCAAATACTTACGTTTTATTTTTATTATTTTTTAGCTATTGATCGCGTTATTAATCAAAAGGGATTAAATATGGAAATAATTATTAATAATAAAACATTGGAAAATGGTTTACGTGTTATACAATTAGAAACTGCTGTTGGTGCCGCTATGAAATGTTTTGATGGTGGTATCGGTATAAATGTACCACGTTCACGTTTCTTACCAGTTAAAAAAACATCTGATCTATTATTGGTTATGTCAAATTTATATAATTTAAAGAATGGAAGTCTTGTTATGTCACCACAACGTATGTTCCCATCAACACCCTTAGTAAAATTGGGTGAAAATCATTTTTCTAAAGTTAAAGAGTTTTTGGGACGTTTTGCCAATATACCCGATATTATAGAATTAGATCATTTAACAGTATCTGGTGATGTAACATTTGGCAGAGGTGTTTCATTAAGGGTAAATTAAAACAATTCGCAAATTTTTATAAAATATGAATCATAAATATAATTTTAGGGAACTGTTATTATAATTGCTAATCATGGTGATCGTATTGATATACCAGCTGGAGCAATATTAGAAAATAAAATTGTATCAGGCAATATGCGTATTTTGGATCATTAAAAAGTAAAAAAAAAAACTGGAGATTATACAAATGTTGCAAAATTACTATTAAAAACTAAGAATATCTTAATAGTTTTAAGTCAAAAGAAATATTATTGTATTAAATTTCAAAATGTTTGTTTTTAATATAGCAAAAAAAAATGAAATATCGCGCAAAGTTATTGAAAAAATAAATAAAATTGTTGATTTTGTAGAGTCTTAGAAAACTATTGTGCAATATGTTATACATCATAAAAAAAGAAAAATTGTTTTAATTCGTAAATTACAAAAAAATTGTTAGAATTTTTTCTTTTAAATATATTTTTGGTCGTAGTTCTGTTTTATTGAATTTACGTTTAGAAAATTTTTATTTTCAAAATTTAATAATTTATCTGCATTAAGCTATGCAGGTAAAAATAAATTAATACAATACATATTTTTTTTAAATTAGCTTTTTTCCTAAATTAAAAAAAATATTATAAAAATTAAAGTGTAAACTCAAAAATATGGGTACTTTATAAAAAAAAGAAAAGGAAATTATTACAATAAATCACAATAAAATTTGTTTGTTTTTTAATAATGTCTTTGTTTATTATAAAATTCAAATTGATCAAGAATAAATCACTTGTTTAGACTGTAGTTATTGATTCTAAGTATTTAATCAATTTAATTATTAATTTAAACAAAGATTTTCAATTGGATTACAATAAGAATAAAATAAGCATCTGCAAATGTTTTATAGTTCTTCGTATTTAAACTTTGCGCTTAAAATTAGTTATACAAAACTAGGAACTATGTCGAGAAAGTTATACACATCACACAATGGTCTAAAATTCAATTATAAAAAGGTTTGCTATGGTATATCAAGGTTTAAATTTATTTTTGCAATAACTCATCTAACAAGTAATTGTAAGTCTAATATCTATACTAAATAACTAAACCGAATGAGCACTGAGCTAAATAAAAGGATGGCGGAGCGATATTGTGCTAACAATCTGTGAACAAATATTTGAGCTACTTTCTACTGGTAATGAAAAATTTGAATGATATTTGAATGAATTTAGCCAGGCGGCGGATAAGTTTTCGTTGGGTTTTCACGTGTATATTTTTTTATATAAACTTAGAAAATTTTATATACAAATTTTGTAAATATCTATACTTACATATCTTCATATGTATTTAAATATTTTGAATTAAATATTTTGAACATTAATTATTCTTGCCTCTGTCATTGAATAAAATTTTTATTATTTTTTAACTAAAATCAAATGTTTTCTAATATTTAGTAATAATTTTAATTTATATATGTATCTAAAATTTAATTAAAACTTCAAGCTTTTTTACGATGAATTAACTAAAGATGAAATCATATTAAATAAAAATACTAATTTTTTAATATTAAAATTAAATAATTAAGATTTTTATTAAAATTATATTTATACATTATAATATTTTACATGTAGCAATGAAAAAAATTTTTACGAATTTCTTGGCATTTTATGAAAATTGTGTTTTAAATGACGTGTTTGCTATGTTTTTTTATAATTACTATTACATTTTAAATCATAAAATTTAATTTATAATTAAAAATATTTTATGCTACTTATTACATTTTATTATTATATAATATTCATAATGCTTTTTTAATTATTTTTTACAAGATGTTCTCAAAAAATTTACACATACTAAAAAAAAAACGTATATTTTCTTTGCTATTTTTTCCCTTAAGGAAATGTTTTTCTCGATTTTATTATTATTTAATAATATATTTTCTTTTTTTATTTATAGGATTATAATTTCCATTAAATAGGTGTTTTAGATGTATTCATAAGAAAGTATGACAAAAATATTCTTTTGTAATTTTATTTATATTGATTACAATATTCAACATTTAAAATTTGTTTTATTAAAAAAATAAGAAAATTAACAATTTTAAACAAAAAATAGAAATTATTTTAATATTTATTGAAAATACATATTTTTCTAATTTTATTATATTATTTAATTAATATTATTATGAAAAACAAAAAAAAAAATTATTTTTAATTTAAATTAATTATTTATTCATAATGTTAACTTACAACAATTGTTATTTTTTTAATTTTATAATTAATTTGTTAATTTAATTTAATTTTTCTGTTTATTTTTTTTTTCAATTTTATATAATTTAAATAGGCCCAAAATGTATTTTTATTCAATTTTTCCCTATTTTTTTGAAATTTCTATTCAATAATTTTTAAGTACTTAAATTAATAAATAATTTTTAAAATAATATTTTAGATATCCAAGGCGTTTTCTTTGAATTGTATTTAGAGGCACGTCACAACAGTAATATACCATTGAGTTCAATACACCAACTAAGAAGGAAGGAGGAAACAAAAAAAAGAAAAATATAGACCCCTGTCATCATTGTAACAAAAAAAATGAATGAAAGGAAAAATGAGTGAAAGACAGAAACTATTTTTCATCAAAGAACAAATGAGTCAATGGTAAACAGCTGCGTATCATTCATTCTTATTAAGTAATGACACCGAATTTTCTTTCCATATATAATTACAATGGACAATGACAATTTATTACATTCACAAAAATATGGAGGATAGAAATAATGATGGCAGACCTCATAATAGACAATGATTGTGATCAATACGATTGATCTGAATATGCTGATATTATTGTTAAATTAGTGTTAAGTAAATTAGTAGTAATTAAGTAAAAATTGCTATCGAAGTAATTATCAAGTAAAAAATTTTTAATTTTTAATTTACATATAATGTTTTTTTTTGTTATAATGATTAACATCAAATATTCATTAATAAAATCGGCTAAAACTGTTTAGATAATAATTGTTAATTTGAATTAAAATATTTTTATTAAATTTTATTGTTAACAATATTTTACAAGCATTTAAACATCCAAATAATTTTCTGCAATGTTACAAATACAAAATGTTACAAAAAATTTAATATTTTCTAATTAAGTACTTAAAAATTTTAGAAATCACTAATCATCAATATAAAAATTTATTTATTTTATTGAATTTATTTAATAATTAATTAATTTTCATTTAGTTACAAAAAATTAAATAATAATAGATTTTACGAATACAATCGTTTATTTTATTTTTGGAAAATATTTAAAAAACAAAATTGTCACAAAAAAATCTCTTATTAGATTAATTTTATTTTATGATTTAAAAATATTTTTGTACTTTTGTATTCTCAAAAAAGAAAAAAAAAACAAAATTTTCTTTTGCATTTACATTATTTTTTTATTCATTAACTAAATCATTTAATTGAATTATTATTTTGTTGCAATTAGAATTATATAATACATAAAATTTAAAAATAATTAGGCATAATCTAATTATTTCCAACTTAAAAATTTTAAAATATTTATTAAATTGATTACAATTTTTGTCAAAAATTTAGAAATTTGTGAATTTTTTATTATGTTTCAAATATAGAATTTTAATAGCACAAATAATTGTTTTGATAAGGGATACTATGCCTATATTGTAATAAATAATTGGCAAATTACAAAATTAAATTGGAAATGTTTATAATTTAGATGATTTTAACTTTTAATATTAACATTTAATCCAACAGTATTTAAATTTAATTCCGGATAAGTTATTTAAAATTCTGTTATTAAAATAAAACTGCAGAGTCTTCAAAATTTTTGGTTGTAATTTTATGAAGTTCTTTATAGATTTCAATATTTTAAAAAAAATAAATTTTGTTATCAAATTTAATGAAATAATAAATTAAATTTGAATTGGTCCGTCATTACATTACCATTTATAAAGAAATAATTAACGACCGAATAAATCAGTTGGGTAATACAAAATTATAATAAAGCAAATATTAGAATCATCAGATCTGCCAGTATCTTTCTTAGAATTAAGCAACTATACCTAATTTAATTTTATACAATTTAATAATGTGGGATAGGCGATGTTTATTTCTGTACGATAACTATCGAGATATTTTAAAATCACATCAAAATTAAAATTATAATCTATTTATGTAATTTTTATATTATTTATTAAATATAGAAAATATTATTTTTCACTTAATAAGTAATCAATTATTATTAGGCGAAAAATTAATTTAATTTAACAATTTTTAATTAAAAAATATTAAAAGTTTTTGTTTTTGTCATAACCAATATGAAATTATTGTTTTTTTTTTTTTAATTAATAATTAAATATTTTAATTTTTTCTTTCATTTCGTCTCCTCATATTTTTCATTTTTACTTATTTAAATTAATTATGTATTAGAAATTACATAATATTATTTAATTATTTTTTCATATTTATATTTAAGTTTTTTCTTTTCTTTTATTAAAATATTAAGTATTAAAAATAGTTAAAAACATTAAAATATAGAATTATGAAAAAAAAAAAAAATTAAAAAAATTATAAGGAAAAGTAAATAAAATTTTCATATAATTATATTTTATATTAAAAATTAATTCATTTTCCAGTTGTTGAAAAATCTGATGATTCTGACTCATCATCTTTAACAGCACCAGTACAATGTATACCATTTCTTAACATTGGTGTACCTTTACCTTTACCAAGTACTCTAGCAATTATTATTAATTTTAATATTTCTTCAGAATTTTTTGCATTTACAATTTTAATTGCCTCTTTTAATAATTTTTCTTTATATGCAAAAAAATCAATTTTCATTTCATAATAACCATCTGATGATGTTGTCGGTTTACCACAAAAATCTATAACATGACAATTTAAATTTGGTACATCACTTGATACATCCGGTATAAATGAATTTGAATCATCCAATTTTGTAAACTCATCAAAATATTTTGAGGGCAGTTTTAAATCAATTGCATATTTATGATTTATTTGTAAAAAACCTAAATTAACTGTAATACCATCATCTGTACGTTGATATGTTACAAAATTTTCCGATTCAAAATCATCTTTTAAGCTAGCTCTATCAAAATGTACATGATGATGATGAGTTTCTAAAAAGAAAAAAAAAAGAAAATATATGATTAATTTAATGAAATTTAAAATAAAGTAAAAATTTAAGAGGTTTTTTTAATATATTTAATTATTTATTACTGAATTATTTAAGATTGAATAAGAAAAGATTAGATAAGTTGAATACGAATTTTTATTGTTATTGTTACTCTTTTTTACCTTAAGAGCAGAAAATTTTATGGAAATTTTTGAATACAAAATTTAGAAAATCACCTATCTTTCAGCAGCCACATTTATATTATGTAAATTATGTAAAGTTGTATATATAAAGATTTTGCAATTTACGCGTTAACTAACAAAATTATATGTGGAATATTAATTTTTAAACGACAATAAATGCGCCAATTAAAAAATATGTAATTAAAAAATGTTATGCACAAGATGTAGATCTATCATTTCATGAGAATGAAAACTTTCTCCCTGTTTTTATTATAGTCGTATTCATTTACAATATTAAAAAGATTCATATGCATATTTTCTCGCACGATTTTCATATTTGCATTTATATAAAAAAAAATATTGCAATTAGAATTACGTGTCTCTTTAAAACGTGATCCCACATATCATAATATTTAATATTTATACATACATATATATATATATATATATATATATATATATATATATACATAAATACTTTTCATTTTTTTATTAAATTCATGATTTGAATACAACGATGAAAATCTTAAAATATTTATTTATAAAATGTTCATATAAACTTATTTTGTACTTACTTAGATTTTCCTTTTTATTTAAATTGAATAATACAATGATATTATGATGTACATTTCCATTCTTTGATATTTTTCATAATGGGAAAGGAAAAGGAAATTGATTTTTGAAAATAGAAAATTTTCTTTAAATAATTTAATATAAATATGAAAAAATGGAGAAAAAAAATTTGTTTTTCAGTAAGTACTAAAATTTCAAGAAAAAAAAATTGTTGAAGAATAAAATAAATTATGAATATTTATTGCATATCTTCAGGCGAGCTTTATTTAAAAAATTATTATTGCTATCTATCCTACTTTAAATATTATTTCTGATTGATTTTTAATAATTTTTCCATACAATTTAAATATACTTAAATTGTGGATGATAAATTTTATTTGAAATCTTTGCATCGCATTCATTGAGGTGTGGTATTAAAAATGTATGAGAGCTATTATTGTTATGATATTAGAGATTTTTCATAAATGCAATACATATAATATTTCTATTCTTATTCTATAAAATCAAAACAGTTTATATGATAACACTTATATGCACTTGATTACTGAACTTTATGAGCACACTTGAATAGCAACATTTTGCTTATGAACACAATTATAGCCTAATTTTCGTTATACATCACGATATACTGCGTTTATGAAAAGGCCTGTTGTCTACAATTAGTATCATTGTCTACAATTAGTTATAAAGTTATACAATTAGTTATAAAAATAAATTATATAAAATACTAAGTATAGAGTACAGCAGATTTTTTTTTACCTCTGATATTAGAATTGAATCAACATCGAATCACTATACTGCAATTTGTTTACAAATTATATCAATTATTTAATTATTTTTGAAATATTTCATATAAGCAAAAGTTTCAAGAATTATTTTCTAGTCTACCAAACAAATTGACATTTTAATTAAATTCATTTTTGATATTCAATTCTAAAAATCTTTAAAACTGAAAGAAAAAATAATTGAATTTTTTAAATCAATTGACTAATATTTTAAGTTTTATTTAGAAAATTTTCCAAATTCAAAATTTCTTGATAAAGACTAATACTTTTTATCATTATTCAATTAAAATTAATTCAACTATTAAAATCAACTTTTTTTTTTAAATATTTAATTTTTAAAATGGTACATACAAAAGACTCTAGGCTATTTAATTTATTCAATATCTTTATTTATTTATTTTTTTTTTATTTTATTTATTTATTTTCATGCTATCTTTGTTACGATGATTTTGATAAAGAAAGAATTTTCATTCCGTAATAAAAATTTAATGTTTTTTTGTTTTATGACCAAAAAGAGAAGGTCAAATTAGTCTTTTACAAGTGAATTTAATTAGATTTATAAAATATTTCATTAAAATTTAATTTTACATTATTTTGCAGCAAGAAAAAAAAAAATAAGAAATATCTACAAAAATCAATAAAAACCTGACTAACATTGGGGATGATTATTTACTTATTGGCTTCAAAGTGAATTTTATAAAGTATTTTTGACTGTTTGTTTTAACTGAATATAAATGAAAATTTCTAGATATTAAAATATTTCACTTTATTCAACTTTAAAAAAAAAATTATTATTATACGCCAGTTTACGTTGATGAACTTCTTACTCTTATTTCACATGATCTTTAATATTTATAGTTACGAGGATGCGGAATGAACTGAAAGCTTTCAACATACCATTCGTTAAACAGCTTTGAACTATGATCACAAAATCATAAAAAGTAGTTAAAACAAAGAAAAAATTGCTGCTGTTGGGGATCTACTTCCGGGTTGACGATCCTTAACCTGGGTTCCAGTTGTAGCTGCAAACCGGGGTCTCTACAATACGTGAGAGAGAAAACTGTTTCTTTTTTTGCTTTCAAATGTCATTTAACATATATGATTTCATTACTCAGTCTATGTTTGACGCAGGCAAGTTTCCACTTAAACATAATCCAACTTCCATTCAAACATAATAAAATTTCATTACAACAGAAATTTGCATTCAAACAAATAAAACTGAAATATAAAATCTATACCTACATAATTATGATTTATGAAATCAAATTTAAAATAATTGTTAAAATAACTTTAAGTAAAAATTAACTACTTTAATATGACACCATCACACAAAAATATTGTTATATGAAAAACTTTATAAGCTGAAAAAATAAACACAAAAAGTATAATAATTAAAGGATTATATTCACATGACTGTAATTAGAATGAAATTTACTTAAAATATCCTTTGATAAAAAAAAAAAAATAAATTTTTTAAAATTCATGTGCATACATTTACAATATAAGAGAATAAGGTGACCATTGTATGTATAATATGGAGAAATTAGTGAAAAATTTAAGTGAGTAATTCTTTAGAATTAATTTCGTATTAAAATCTGAAAAACCGAAATTAATCTCAAATTAAATTTTAATAAAAATTTTATTAATGAATATTAATTATTTACTTTAACATTTTGGTAAATAATACTGAAATAAATTTAACTTTCTGCAAATGGTATCAAAATCTTATTTTTGGTATAGACGGCCAGTGATGTGATCAGACGATTTTGAATTCATACTAAAATATTAAACTTTTCTTATACAATTTAAATATTTTTCAATTTTGATTTTAAATGTGCATATTTATTTAATCATAAATCATAGCCAATCTTGGAATATCATTTTTATGATGCTATTCAATAAATTATTGAACAATAACTGCTACTACAAAATTATTAGTATTAAATTTATCATTGAAAACAAAGGTTAAATGGTCTATCTACTTATGTAAATATTCATATGAGAAATGAATGAATACATACATATATAAAAACGAATGTATATGTATAAAATGCAAATTTTAAGTGTCACTAGATTTGAAAAAAAAAAGTGTTTTCTATTTTTTTTTTAATTAACTACAAAAAAAAAAAAGAAAATAATGAAAAGAACGTAAATGAAAAAATTTCTAACCTATTCTTTTGTTCTAATTTTTCCTATTTTGCATATCAAAGTATGAATGTGTGATGACCCAATTTTCATTTTAATGCATTTTCATTTAATGAATACAAATTTGCATTTTTAAAGCCATTGTGTTCGTTTTTTAATGTTAAAATAGTATTTTCAAAAAACAAAAAATTATTTCATATTTTGTTTAATTATTGTTAATGATAGTTAAAACCTTAAGTCCACTTTAAGTTTTTTTTTTAATGTTTTGTTTTTGAAAAATTTTCAGTTTTCAGTCATAATTATTATTAAATAAAATGTGACCTATATGTACGTTATGTATGTGAGTATTTTGCCTTCAAAATTTTCTAATTTATTAAATTTCAGTTTAGATGTTAGAATTGAATTTTATATTGAAATTTTTGTAATCAAAAATGCAAAAATTTTAATGAAAATTTTCTAATAAGAAATTTTATATTTTAATTACAATGTTGTAGATCAAAATTTCATTAACAAAATAAAGTACTTTTTAAATGATCAATAAATCGAAATTATTCAAAATTGAAGTTTGATATGAAAGTTGGCAAGAGAAAAATTGCATTTGAAATTACGTTTTTTATTAACTTGCTTCGTGTTTTTCCGTTTGTTTATCATTTTGGGTTAAATTTTTGTTCAGTGTTTGAGTTACTCTAAACGTCGGATCACACCCAAATTTTGTACATGCTCTCGATAAAAATGCAATATTATGAGACTATTGTATCATAATTATTCTTTTTTTGTAAGATCCGATAGGAGGCGTTGAAATTTAACATTAGAATTTTACATATGGATGTAATAGGAAGAAGAATGTGCATATAGGAATAGGAAAGGGAAATTCGGAGAGCCGGAGAGAGCAACATAGTTGAATTGAATTGAATGAATAAGGGAACAAGCAAGGAAGATAAAAAGAGAGAGGGAAAAACAGATGAAAGTTAGAGAGAGAAAGAGAAGGATAAGGAAAGAGAGAGAAGAAAACTAATTAAAACGTTATTTATTTTCAGAGAAAGGTGAAATGAAGAAAACAATATGAATTAGTTACGACATAAATTGGAGAACTCAAAAAAATAATATTTATCTAATAATATCATCATAATCACCATCATCAACATTATTATCAACAAAAACCATAAAAGTATTAAACTTATAATATGAAGAAAATAACTATGTACGTCCAATATCAAATGTCCGCATACTCATTTGTTTTGTACTACGGTTGTGTTTATGTTAATTATTGTTTCTTATTTTAAAGAGCTTCAAAAGAGAAATGAAAGAGTGAGAGAAAA